TTAAATAATCCAAAAATTGAAATAAAGAATAGTTGAAAAATTAAGAAATTAAAAAATTTAAACGTAAAATCAGTAAAAATTTAAAAAATCAAAAACTAAAAACCGATAAATTAAAAAAATCTGGAAAAATGGCCAGAAATAACGCCGAAAATAACTTTTGGAGGGCGGAATCTACAGGAAATTTCATTTGATAATTTTCAAAAAACAAAACTTTTTTGATACAATCTCTACAGAAAATCTTAAATCTTCTAATGGTCTCAAAAATGGCTTAAACAAAATTATTTTGCCAATTTTGCTAAAAATTTAAATTTTACACCAATAGTGTTGACTTAATCAAATCCTATTAACATTTTAATTTTTCACTTTTTTATTTTTCCGCTATTTCGATTTGTCGGTTTTTCACTTATTTGATTTTTTTTATTTTCCAGTATTTCCAGTTTCTCGATTTTTTTTTCATTTGATTGAAACATCAAAAAACTCGGAAATTATTAAATTTCAATAACTTAAAAACTAAAAAACTAAAGTTTGAAAAATCAATAATTGAATATAATCGGGAACCTGAAAATTATAAAATAATTTTAAAAATTTAAAAATCAAAATTTGAAAAAACGAAAGACTAACAAATCTAAAATGGAAAATCAGTATTTAAGGAAAAAATCAAAGCAAGAATTGAAAATCCTGGTAATTAAATAATCGAAAAATTGAAATAAGAAATAATTGAAAAAGTAGAAAATCGCACAATTCATAAATCAAAGTTTGAAAAAACAAAAAACAGAAAAATCGAAACGTTGAAACTTGTAAAAGTTAAATAATCCAAAAATTGGAACAAGGAATAATTGAAAAACTAAGAAATGAGAAAATTCAAAAACCAAAATTTGAAATAACAAAATAATGAAAAATCTAAAACGTAAAATCAGTAACAATTGAAAAATCAAAAACAAAAAACCGATGAATTAAAAAAAATCGAAAAATGGAAAATTTCTAAAATCATGATTTTGAAAAAGAAAAACAGAAACTTAAAAAATTTGATAAATCGAAAAATTGAAAACTGTTAAAATTTCATAATCGAAAAATGAGGGAATTAATTGAAAGACTAAGAAATCTAAAAATTCAAAAACCAGAATTTGGAAATACGAATAACTGAAAAGTGTAATGTAAAAAATCGTTAATTATATGAGAAATCAAAAATTAAAAATGCAAAAATTACGAATTCTAAAACTCAAATATTTAAATAAAAAAATTGAAAATTTCGACGAATAACTGAAAAGTGTAATGTAAAAAATCGTTAATTATACGAGAAATCAAAAATTAAAAATGCAAAAATTACAAATTCTGAAACTCAAAGACTCGCAATATTTAAATAAAAAAATTGAAAATTTCGAAAATCAAAATCTGAAACCTCGAAAACCTGGATAATATAATTGGAAAATTAGTAATTATTCGAAAAATCAAAAATCGAAAAACTGAAATATCAAAAATCTGAAAAATTTTTAATGAAAAGTGGAGTAAAACTAAAACTAAAAAACTCAAAAAATGGAAAAATTAAGTATCGAAAAATTGAAACCTGTAAAAATAAATAACCAAAAAATTAAAAGAAGGATTAACTGAACCATCAAATTTAGAAAAAACGAAAAACTGAAAAATGGAATGTGCCTGAAAAATAAAAAATTTAAAAAAGCAGGAATTGAAAATCCTAAAAATTAAATAATCGAAAAGTAGGAAATTGTAAAATTTATAATTCTTAAGTTTGAGAATACAAAAAATAGAACAATCTAAAATGGAAAATAAGTAATAATTGAAAAAACAAAATTAAAAACCAAAAAACAAAAAACTCATAACTCAAAATCTGAAATAACAACAAAATTAAAAATCCAAAACATAAATTTAGTAACAATTGAAAATTTAAAAAATTTAAAATTGCAAAATTTCTGAAATTACAATTTGCAAAAACAGAGACAAAAACTAAAAAATCTAAATTAAAACTAGAAAACTCAAATAATCGAAAAATTGAAACTTGTAAAAATGAAATACTCGAAAATTTAGAAGAAGGATTAACTGAAAAACAGAAAAAAATTCCAGAACCAAAATTTGAAAAAACGAAAAACTAAAAAATGTACCTACTCTGCGTGAAAAATCAAAAATTTAAAAACACAGAACTAAAAATTCTAAAAATGAAAGAATCGAAAAATTGAAATAAGAACAAATTCAAATACTTATTCGAAAATCCAAATTTGATATCACGATAAATTGAGAAAAGTAACGTGGAAAGTAGTAATTAACCGAAAAATAAAAAACAGAAACATCGAAAAATCGAACAATTAAAAAATCGAAAAACTGAAAATTTTTAAATAAAAAATAGACCAGTAGAAAATTCAAAAACTCAAAAACTAAAAAACCTCAAACTTGAAAATTGTAAACTGAACGAATCGAAAAACTAAGAAATCTAAAAATTCAAAAATCATAATTTGAATAAATAAAAAATGAAAAATTTAAAAATCCAAGAATTGAAAATTCTAAAAATTAAATAACTGAAAAATTAAAATAAGAAAAAATTGAAAAATGTTTAAATGAAAATTGGAAAAAATGAAAAACTGGAAAATCGAAAATGTAAAACAGTAATAATTGAAAAATCATAAATTATAAACCGAAAATTTGAGAAAACGTAAAATTAACAAATGAAATGTGCATGAAAAATCGAAAAATCGAGAAATCGAAAAATAACATTTTTAGACGAAAAATAGACAAAAAAAACCAAAACCTGAAAATTCTAAAACTGAATAAACGAAAAATTGAAAAGGAGGTAATCGAAAAACTAAGAAATCTAAAAATTCAAAAATCATAATTTGAATAAATAAAAAATCAAAAATTTAAAAATCCAAGAATTGAAAATTCTAAAAATTAAATAACTGACAAATTAAAATAAGAAAAAATTGAAAAATTCATAAATTAAAATTGGAAAAAACGAAAAACTGGAAAATCCAAAATGTAAAACAGTAATAATTGAAAAATCAAAAATTAATAACCGAAAATTTAAGAAAACGTAAAATTAACAAATGAAATGTGCATGAAAAATCGAAAAATCAAGAAATCGAAAAATAAAAATTTTTAGACCAAAAATAGACTAAAAAACCAGAACTTGAAAATTGTAAAACTGAACGAAAAATTGAAAGTGGGGTAATCGAAGAAGTAAGAAATTTAAAAATTCAAAAATCATAATTTGAATAAATAGAAAATCAAAAATTTAAAAATCCAAGAATTGAAAATTCTAAAAATTAAATAACTGAAAAATTAAAATAAGAAAAAATTGAAAAATTCATAAATGAAAATTGGAAAAAACGAAAAACTGGAAAATCCAAGATGTAAAACAGTAATTATTGAAAAATCAAAAATTAATAACCGAAAATTTGAGAAAACGTAAAATTAACAAATGAAATATGCATGAAAAATCGAAAAATCGAGACATCGAAAAATAAACATGTTTAGATGAAAAATAGACTAAAAAAACAAAACTTGAAAATTGTAAAACTGAATAAACAAAAAATTGAAAAGGGGGTAATCGAAAAACTAAGAAATCTAAAAATTCAAAAATCATAATTTGAATAAATAAAAAATCAAAAATTTAAAAATCCAAGATTTGAAAATTCCAAAAATTAAATGATTGAAGAATTCAAACAAGAAATAAAAGTGGCCATTCGTCCGAAGGACTTCGTTGCCGCTCGTGAAGTAAAAACTGAAAAACTAAAAATTCAAAAAATTCAAAAACAACAATTTGAAAAAACGAAAAACTGAAAAACCCAAAATGTAAAACAGTAATAATTGAAAAGTCAAAAATTAATAACCGAAAATTTAAAAAATCGAAAAACTAAGAAACCGAAAAATAAAAAAATCTTAATTTAAAAAAACGAAAGCTGAAAAATCAGAAATGGAAAATCTGTGATTAACTGAAAAATAAAAAAATAAAAAATCCAAGATTATTCTAGACATTAAGTATGTAATTGCAAAATTAATAGGTATAAGAAAAATTTAGAAAAATGAAAATGTCAAAAAATTCGAAAACGAAAATAGGAAAAAACAAACACTGACAAATCTAAAATAGAAAATCAGTAATTATTTAAAAAATCCTAAAAATTGCGATATTTTATAAGGACATTTTTGGAAAATTTGACTAAAGTCCATAAAAAATCCTGGGATTTATATTTCGACGTTCTGATCAAAAAAATATAGCGTGTTTTTAGTGCTGGAGGAAAATTTTTCAAAATATTCGTTTAGTAAAAATTTTCGAAGAAAAAAAGCCGAAAATGACTTCTGGAAGTCGAAATCTAGAAGAAAACCTTGTAGTTTAAAAATTCACAAAAAATTCTGGGTTCTAAAATTTTGGCGTGCGGGTTCGAAAAATATTGCATTTTTGTCTATTTGACAAACAAAACTTGTGAAAAATCCTTAAAATCAATTTCATATGTGAAAGTCGAGAAAATTAAGAGTAGAATAAAAATCAAAAATCGTGAAATCCAGGAAGTCTTGAAACTTCATAAAAACTGAAATATTGAAAACTAGAAAAGTTGCGAAATTAATTGAATTTGATTTGTAGATGAAATTCTAGCATGACTACTGACCGTCTAACACGCTACTCACATTAAAACAGCTACATGCACCGACCCGACCCATCACTCCACCCCTCATCCCTCACCCCCAACCGTCCCATCTTCAACGCAGCCACCCTCCCTCCCCCCATTTTAAAATCGCATTTGCCCCGACACCCACATTTGTCAAAACCGTCATCCGCAGCCTCCCGCGATCGGAATCGAATTTGTTCAAACTGTTGCGGAATTGGGCCATATCTGCAGGTCTGTCGAGCGAGGCGTCGTCGGCACCGCGGCGCCCGTCTTATGACAGCTTTTGCATAATTCGGCCATTTTGCGCGTCGTTTGCGTTTACGACGCGCCGTTTAGGGTAACACACCATGCGCCTTTTTTATATCGACGCCCTCTTCCTTGTTCCAGGCAAGAGCTTCACGCTGACGATCATCGTGTCGACGTCGCCGCCGCAGATCGCCACCTACAACAAGGCCATCAAGGTCACGGTGGACGGGCCCAGGGAGCCGCGGTCGAAGACGCGCCAGCAGGGCTTCCACCACTTCCCCTTCGGGCCGAGGCACTTCGCGCCCGACCCCTTGACGGGCAGCCTGCCCTTCAAGCTCAGCGGTAAGCGGCGCGCATACTTTGAAACCGGCGTTGATATCGGGGCCATTATTCTATTTAATCTTGGCAAAGCGGATTGCAAATCAGTTTCCCCGATTGAATATTTTGTCTAGTGGTGCGGTTGCCATAGCGATATCAGTGCTCACGTGGTGGTTGCCGCCGAAAACAATAAAAACGCATTTTTGCGTGCCAATTAAGGGATGAGCCGTTATTCTCACAGTCGCAGCTTTAATTGATAATTAGCTGATGTAATTAATGGGGTGGGTTCGGAGGCGAACTACTGGTGCATGAGGGTAGTTCGTTATTATCCTCATAGCGAGATTAGAGCAAAACGCTCCCCGCTTCCAGCTAATGAGCTTGTTGTATTGCCTTACTTCACGTAACGGTCGGAATTGGGGCTTAATAGGTAAACGCGATCGTAAAGATTTAAATGGCCATATACGTATGGATAAGTCGGGATGAATTGCCAATTAAGGGCGGATTTAAGATCGGGGCTGAGGGACAAATCACCGGGAAATTGGAAGATGAGGGGTTAAGAATCATTTAAAGACAGAAAAATAATCTCTAGAGGGTGGTTTTTGTTTGCGCGGATTCATAACTTTTAAATGGGTTTCCTTGGAAATTCTGGGTCATCTGATTTCTCATTCGATTGTAGACTTTGGAACTAGTTGAGGAAAGTTTTTACAAAATTTAATATCAGAGATCTCCGAGATTTTGTTGTTTCCACATATTACAAAAAAAAAAAAAACAGTTGGGAGCTCTAAGATAATTTAAAACCCTTTCAAAAATAAAACAACACAATGGACCTCAATGATTTTTTTTTCAAATATTAAATAGAACCCGCTAGAACCGTCGAGATTTTTTCAAAATGCTTAAAAATAAAACACCAAGGGTCTCCGAGATATTTTTTAAATTCTGACAAATAAGACGCATGGCAAAACACCAAAATCCTCAAATCCTCAGAACACCATAATCCTCAATTCTTCAGAACACACTTACCCTTAAATCCTCAAAACATCAAAACCATCAAATTCTCAAAACATTATAATCCTCAAATCCGCAAAACACAATAATCCTCAAATCCTCACAGCACCATAGTCCTCAAATCTTTAAAACACTGTAATCCTCAAATCTTCAAAACACGTCCTTTTCGTCCTTTTCGTCCTTTTTCATCCATTTCGTTCTTGGCGTCCTTTTTCGTCCTTTTTGTCTATTTCGTCCTTATTCGTCCTTTTGGCAATATTTCGTCCTTTTCGTCTTTTTCGTCTTTCTTCGTCCTTTTTCATCCTTTGTCGTCGTTTTTCGTTTTATTTCGTCCTTTTCGTCTTTTTCGTCCTTTTTCGTCCTTATTCGTACTTTTCGTAAATTTCGTCCTTTTCGACCTTTTCGTCCATTTTCCTCCTTTTCGTGCTATTCGTCTTTTTTCCTCCTTTTTCGTCCTTTATCGTCCTTTGTCGGCCATTTGGTTCTTGTCGTCCTTTTTCTTTCTTTTCGCCCTTTTCGTCCTTATTCGTCCTTTTCGTAATATTTCGCCCTTTTCATCATTTTTCGTAATATTTCCCCCTTTTCGTCATGTTTCGTCCTTGTTCGTCATTTTAGTAATATTTCGTCGTTTTCGACCTTATTGTCCTTTTTCCTCCTTTCCATCCTTTTCGTCCTTTTTCGTCCATTTTCGTTCTTTTCCGTCCTTTTTCGTCCTTTTCGTCTTTATTCGTCTTTTTCGTCCTTATTCGTCCTTTTCGTAATATTTCGTCCTTCTCGTTATTTTTCGTCCTTTTTCGTCCTTTTCCTCCTTTTTCGTTATTTTTTGTCCTCTTCCGTTCTTTTTCATCCATTTTCGTCCTTCTTCGTCCTTTTTCGTCCTTTATCGTTGTATTTCGTCCTTTTCGTCCTTTTTCGTTCTTAGTCCTCTTTTTCGTAATATTTCGCCCTTTTCGTCCATTTTCCTCCTTTTCGTCCTTTTCGTCTTTTTCCTCTTTTTTCATCCTTTTCGTCCTTTGTCGTCCATTTCGTTCTTGTCGTCCTTTTTCATCCTTTCCGTCCTTTTCGTCGTTATTCGTCCTTTTCGTAATATTTCGTCCTTTTCGTCATTTTTCGTAATATTTCGCCTTTTTCGTCCTTTTCGTATTATTTCCTCCTTTTCGACCTTATCGTCCTTTTTCCTCCTTTCCGTCCTTTTCGTCTTTTTTCTTCCTTATTCGTCCTTTTTCGTCCTATGTCGTTCTTTTTCATCCATTTCGTTCTTGTCGTCCTTTTTCGTCCTTTTTGTCTATTTCGTCCTTATTCGTCCTTTTGGTAATATTTCGTCCTTTTCGTCTTTTTCGTCTTTCTTCGTCCTTTTTCGTCCTTTTTCGTCGTTTTTCGTTTTATTTCGTCCTTTTCGTCTTTTTCGTCCTTTTCGTAAATTTCGTCCTTTTCGTCCATTTTCCTCCTTTTCGTCCTATTCGTCTTTTTTCCTCCTTTTTCGTCCTTTATCGTCCTTTTCCGTCCTTTTTCGTCCTTTTCGTCCTTTGTCGTCCATTTAGTTCTTGTCGTCCTTTTTCTTTCTTTTCGCCCTTTTCGTCCTTATTCGTCCTTTTCGTAATATTTCGCCCTTTTCGTCATGTTTCGTCCTTGTTCGTCATTTTCGTAATATTTCGTCGTTTTCGACCTTATCGTCCTTTTTCCTTCTTTCCATCCATTTCGTCCTTTTTCGTCCTTTTTCGTTCTTTTCCGTCCTTTTTCGTCCTTTTCGTCTTTATTCGTCTTTTTCGTCCTTATTCGTCCTTTTCGTAATATTTCGTCCTTCTCGTTATTTTTCGTCCTTTTTCGTCCTTTTCCTCCTTTTTCGTTATTTTTTGTCCTCTTCCGTTCTTTTTCATCCATTTTCGTCCTTCTTCGTCCTTTTTCGTCCTTTATCGTTGTATTTCGTCCTTTTCGTCCTTTTCCGTTCTTAGTCCTCTTTTTCGTAATATTTCGCCCTTTTCGTCCATTTTCCTCCTTTTCGTCCTGTTCGTCTTTTTCTTCCTTTTTCGTCCTTTTCGTCCTTTGTCGTCCATTTCGATCTTGTCGTCCTTTTTCGTCCTTCTCGTCGTTATTCGTCCTTTTTTCTTAATATTTCGTCCTTTTCGTCATTTTTCGTCCTTTTCGTCCTTTTCGTCATTTTCCTCCTTTTTCGTCATTTTCGACCTTTTCGTCCTTTTTCCTCCTTTTCGGTCCTATTCGAACTTTTCCTTTTTTTTCGTCATTTTCGACCTTTTCGTCCATTTTCCTCCTTTTCATCTTTTTCGCCCTTTTCCTTTTTTTTTCGTCCTTTTCGACCTTTTCGTCCATTTTCCTCCTTTTCGTCCTTTTCGTCTTTTTCCTCCTTTTTCGTTCTTTTTCGTCCTTTTCCGTCCTTTTTCGTCCTTTTCGTCCTTTGTCGTCCATTTCGTTCTTGTCGTCCTTTTTCATCCTTTGCGTCCTTTTCGTCCTATTCGTCCTTATTCGTCCTTTTCGTAATATTTCGCCCTTTTCGTCATTTTTCGTAATATTTCGCCTTTTTCGTCGTTTTTCGTCCTTTATCGTCATTTTCGTAATATTTCGTCCTTTTCGACCTTTTCGTCCTTTTTCCTCCTTTCCGTCTTTTTCGTCCTTATTCGTCCTTTTTTGTCCTATGTCGTTCTTTTCCGTCCTTTTTCGTCCTTTTCGTCCTTTGTCGTCCATTTCGTTCTTGTCGTCCTTTTTCGTCCTTTTCGTCCTTCTCGTCCTTATTCGTCTTTTTTCGTCCTTTTCGTCATTTTCCTCCTTTTTCGTCATTTTCGACCTTTTCGTCCTTTTTCCTTTTTCCTCCTTTTCGGTCGTATTCGTCCTTTTCCTTTTTTTTTCGTCATTTTCGACCTTTTCGTCCATTTTCCTCATTTTCCTCTTTATCGCCCTTTTCCTTTTTTTTCGTCCTTTTCGTCTTTTTCCTCCTTTTTCGTCCTTTTTCGTCTTTTTCGTCCTTTTCCATTCTTTTTCGTTCTTTTCGTCCTTTGTCGTCCATTTCGTTCTTGTCGTCCTTTTTCATCCTTTGCGTCCTTATTCGTCCTTTTCGTAATATTTTGCCCTTTTCGTCCTTTTTCGTCATTTTCATAATGTTTCGTCCTTTTCGAACTTATCGTCATTTTCCTCCTTTCCGTCCTTTTCGTCCTTTTCCTCCTTTTTCGTCATTTTCGACCTTTTCGTCCATTTTCCTCCTTTTCTTTGCACTTTATTGTTAAGATTTTGTCTGGAAAATTGCATCCCTATGTTTTGTAACTTATGTAATTTAATTGTAATTTCCTGTTCATATATGTATTTTGTATTTATTCTCTTTTGCCTACTTGTGGTTTATGCTGTTTGGCAAATATATACCTATTTATTTATTTATTTATTTATTTATTTTTCATCTTTTTCGCCCTTTTTCGTCCATTCTGCGTCCTTTTTCATCCTGTTCCGTCCTTTTTCGCCCTTTGTCATCCTTTTTCGTTCTTTTTTGTTCTTTTCGTCCTTTTCGTCCTCTTTCGTCCTTTTTCGTTCTTTTCGTCCTTTCTCGTTTTTTTCGTCTTTTTCGTACGTTCCTCCCCTTCGTCCTTTTCCGTCCTTTTTCGCTCTTTTAGTCCTTTTTCGTCCTTTTCGTCCTTTTTCGTCCTTTTCGTTCTTTTTCGTCCTTTTCGTCTTTTTTCGTCCTTTTCGTCCTATTCGTCTTTTTTCCTCCTTTTTCGTCCTTTATCGTCCTTTGTCGGCCATTTGGTTCTTGTCGTCCTTTTTCTTTCTTTTCGCCCTTTTCAAATCTTAACAAAACAATAGTCCTCAAATTCACAGAACACCATAATTTTGAAATACTCAAAACACTATATTCCTCAAATTCTCAAAACACAATAATCTTCAAATCCTTAAAACACCATAGTTCTCAAATCATCAGAACACAATAATCCTCAAATCCTCAAAACACTATAATCCTCAAATGCTCAGAACACCATAATCCTCAAATCCACAGAACACAATAGTCCTCAAATTTTCAG